TTTCATTCGGCAATTAAATTGACTTTGGCTCTACCGGCCTTTCTTATATCATCTACAGAGAATACCCCGCCACGCTTGAACAAAGAACCTCCATTCACCATGTTGTCTTATGAGAATCGTTCCTCAAACATGGCTCAACCAACGCCAGCCATGCCGGATCATTTGCCTATATCAACTTCGTCGTCTTCAAATTCGTTGACAAATGGCTCATCAAGACAGCCCAAGACAGGCCATTCTCACATCTGGTTGATTACCGGTCCTGCTGGATGTGGAAAAAGCACAGTGGCTCAATATGTCGCCAAAGCTATGAACTTGCCATATATTGAAGGAGATGAGGTATATACATCAATTCCATTAATTGCCAAATTAAGAACGCCATTCTAACGAAAATAAAAACAGTACCACCCGCAATCAAATATTGATAAAATGGCCCAAGGCATACCCCTCAACGATGCCGACCGTTGGGACTGGCTCACCAAACTCCGCGACGAATCTGTTAAAAGTCTCAACTCCGGCTCCCAAGGCGTTGTCCTCACCTGCTCTGCCCTAAAGCGCAAATATCGCGACGTCATCCGTGTAGCTTCCTACTACGACCACAATGTCCTCGTTCACTTCGTATACCTGCATGCTAGTGAGGAAACATTACTCGCGAGAGTCGGCGCTCGAAAGGGCCATTTTATGGGCGCGAATATGGTTCATAGTCAATTTGGCATTCTCGAGCCACCTACAAAAGATGAGACAGATGTGATCCAGGTAGATGTTAGTGGATCGTTAGAAGAAGTCGAGCGAGATGCGTTGGCGAAGATAAACACGGCAATAAAGAAAGAATTGGCTAGAGACTCATGATCTTCATACTTTTACACCATTGCACTGTAGAAGATACTCGCAGTGGAGAGATAGAGAGCTCATTTTCTTTTCAAATTACAACACGGCGCTCGGTGACCAATTGGCGGACTAGATATCCTTCATCATTCATCTACGATTTAAGCAATCACGGATATTATCTCGGCTACACGATTTGGAGTTGCTAATGGTATTTGTTTCTTATTTCATGTGTCTACATTTACATTTCGCATACGGATCTCGGTGGGGCTAGCAAAAAAAGGGTTTGGCGTATTTTCTTCTAGCTGTAGCTAGATATGGGTTCTATTATGTTCAAACGCATGAGTTTCTTTAATGGGTGGGGTTTCGTGTCATGACCAGTCGCAAGATGAGAAGACGAGAGAGAACAGTCCGTAAGCAAACGAAGCGAAAATGGAAGGAGGTGAAGGAACTAGATGGTTGGACAAGTACGCAATTAGATTAATTAAGAGTATCACGCATCAAAATTCCTCATGCAGCCATCTATAAATGGTTGGGTTCGTTCCTCGTTTTTCTGTTGATGCACACCGTCGGGAGAATCTTCACACACCACCCCCCTGATCTGCCAATTATCCTCATGCGAATGCGGGGTAGCGACCAACCCCGGAAAATCAGTCTTTATGTACCCCAGTCGGACAACGCACTGTGTCGCACGACAAGGCTGAATGAATCGTGCATGCATGATGGTATTGTAAGGGGTTTTAGGAGATACGTGATACTACTTGTTGGGTATCTTGCCAATCAATGACAGTCTCTCACTTTATGTATGTATGTATGCAGGCATGTTTGCTTGTATTGTTTCTGTATGCTACGCTAATGCTTCGCAATCTTCGCAAGCTTCGCAAGTGCAAAACTTATCACCTATTCCAAAGAAAATCGAAAGCTGAGCCCGAAACCTCCTCTTTAAACACCGAATGCAACGCAGTCATTTGTAACAAGTTAGTTACTTTTCGAGGCGGTTGCCTAATTCATCAACGTGGAAGCATACTTCGTGACTCTGATTACCCAATTGGAAGCAGGAGACAAAAATACACCCTTATGTCCGTGGGGTATGGTATCACGGTCTTTGCGTATGTTGTGTTTCTGTCAACTATCATAAGGTGATGCAGAATGCAGTGTAGAAGATCTTGTGAGCTGAAGCGAAGAACGATCTCGTGGTCTTGGATTCCTCAGCCACTTTTACTCCGCCTATATATATGTAAGACGTGAACGATGAGATGATGTCATGTGCGTTGGATGCACAATAATGCATCATTTCATATGTAGAAGCATGGTTTCTGGATCTTCGATATATCCTCTGACCATTTCAGCTGCGCGGGCCATGGTTGCACCGTCTATTACGCGGTGGTCGGCGCTCCAACTGAAGTTGATGACTTGTTTTGGGACAACATTTCCGTGAGCATCGAACGCGGGAATAGTGCGTAGTTTGCCAATGCCGAGGATGGCGAGCTGGGAATCGACGATGATGGGAGAAAGGTAGGTACCGCCGATGTTGCCGATGTTGGAGATGGTTATAGTACCACCGGAGAGGTGAGAGGAGGTAAGGGTGGAGCTTGAGGCAAGGGATTGAAGATTGGTGAGAGATTGAGTTATGGTGAGGAGGGTAGACGTGGATTGGGCGTGTTTTAGGACAGGAACGAGGAGACCTGTGGGAGTATCCATTGCGATGCCGATATCGTGTTGAGGACGCATTGTTAAGATGGGCTTCTGCGAAGTAGGATCAATGTCGAGCCGAGCATTCAGAATGGGGTAATGATTGAGAGTTAGAGAGACAGCTTTGATGATGAAGGGGAGGTAGGATAGCTTGGCAACCCCATTGATGGGAGAGCTTGCCAGTTGTTTGTTAATACGATCTCGTACTTGGGAGAGTTTCGTAAAGTCAATTTCATCGGTGTAGAGGAACTGAGGTATGGCCAAAGACTTCGTCATGACTTTGAACATTTGCTGTTGAACAGGCGTTAATGAAGTGGTATACTCTTTTTGAAAACCCCCATTTGCCTCTACGAAGGGTTCCTGGATTTTTGACGGGGCCCCATCTCTTTGCTTTGCAAACTGATGCACGTCTTCCTTGAGTACGCGGCCGTCTTTCCCCGTACCTGTCACATCTAATATATTGACGTCTAACTCTTTTGTAAGATGCCTTACTGCTGGTGTTGCCAATGACGCATGCTTTCCTTTTGGAGTTGATGAAGAGGATCGAGTCTCGGCAGCTGGCTGGGAGGCACCTGGAACATCTACTTTATATTCCATTGGTGACTTGTCCGCGGATTGGGCTTTAGATTCATTACCAGCACTTGACCCTTCAGCGGCATCCGCACTCTCTTGTTCGATCTCCCCTTGTATATCAATATCCAGGAGAGCTTTCCCCACTTGTGCCATATCCCCAGCTTCATAATGGAGCTTCTTTATGACACCCGAAAATCGACTGGTAATCTCGACCGACGCTTTGTCACTTTGCACTTCGCACAATTTGTCCCATTCCTCCACCCGAGCTTCTGGTTCCACGAACCATTGTATGATTTCGCATTCTTTAATTCCTGAAACATATGTTAGTATGAAATCTTCATCTGAGTACTCTGATCTTCTAACCTTCTCCAATATCTGCCAACATAAACGGTTTTATGGCTGATCGCTTCGCAGATGCATGGAAGTATTTGTATGTGGTTGGGCATCGTTTGGGGAGATTGAGACCTTGATAGGCGTTCCATTGCCTACTCAAAACTCTGGAATAGAAGTTATAACGCATCTTGTACAATCCTAAATCAGGAGCTCATACAATTTTCGATAGGGATGGAAAGAAAAAGGTTGTAATATTTACGTATCCTTTGGAATAGAAAGTTACATTCGTGATCTTTGCGGAGGTAACAATCTGGGGATTTCGGTTATCGGCGGCTTATCAGCGCTCGGGAAACTCTGGGGAAAAAAAATAAATTCTGGGGTAAAGAGAATCTTTCAGGCGCGCATGCTGAATTGCTAGCGGGGCTTCTAGGTTTCCTGCACGACTTCCCTTATTATAACGAATATGATCCTTACACGATTGCCGATACGATCCGCAAGGAAGCAATTAGATGCTTCAGCATGTATGCTATGCCAATGGCGTTCATTCACTACTACATATCGACGATGGGACGAAAAGAAAGAGATGCCATCACCGGTGCCAGAAACTCCTTCAGTTCTAGATGAAGCCCCAAGAGCTTCGGGCAAGAGGGTGGAAAATTTTACGCCCAAGCCTTTGGATCGAGCAATTGGACTTCCGCAACCACCGAGAGCAGGTCAGAATAGTGGAGTGGATAATAGGTCATTGAAAGAAAAAAGAGATGACTTCGTCAATTGGGAGAAGCATCTTGAAAAGCGCAAGAGATTGTGAGCCTTGCTTTTATAAAATGATGTGTGCAGGTCACTAATATCAAGGATCTAGGACCGCGGCAATGGCCAAACCATATTACAGAGAATGGAGCAATATGAAATATCACAAGGGAAAATCTTTCCTGGCACCTCCCCGAATCTTCAAAGCCGATCGCGCGCTCTATTTCCCTAATTTAAGCGGCCGAACTCTAGAACCAGACTCTACCCTATATGAAAATACAACACCCATACTAGAGGGCAAGGTCTCAGTTGTGTCCGTATTCAGTGGTGCATGGGCAGAAAACCAGGCGGCTACATTTGCATCCGAGAAGAGTAACCCAGGTTTACATGAGGTGGTTAGAAACAACAAGGAATTGGCGCAAATGGTACATATCAACTTCGAAGAGAACTACCTGAAAGCTATGATCATCAAGTTCTTTCGGTCGAGTTTAAGAAAAAGGCTGCCAAAATGGATGTGGAAGAGATATTTTGTGGTCCAGAAGGGTCTTACGGATGAGATGAAAGATGCTATAGGCCTATTAAATAGTAAGGTCGGGTATACATACATTCTAGATGGGGATTGTAAGATTAGGTGGGCGGGCAGTGGTAATGCTGAAGAATATGAGAAGGATGTCTTGGTCAAGAATGTTTCCCGACTGTTGGAGGATGCTAAAGCACCCCTCGCGCAAAAGAGACTGGAAAATGGTACACAGCAATCAGGGGACGCTGCCGCAAAGAAGGAGAGCATAGAAGATGCAGCAAAAGCTGAACGTCGAGCATGATATTCCTGAATATACCCATAAGCCGTTCTTATACTGTACAACAATTTGGTCATATCCCAGACCGTTCCACTCCAAACGCCTTGCCTGTGTTCTCATTACCATAACATGCATCGTGCTATCCTATCGTCACATAAAGTACAAGAACATCAAGAAGCAAAATGCGATAAAGCTGCCCATAATAATTCCATCTCTCCTCTTCTTCGCGCTAATCCTCCCAATCAAACTATTCAATCCCGGTACCTGACTTGCAGCCCCAGTGATCCTCCGATTAATACTGGCCAGCGTTTCTCTCTGTAGCCCAAAACTCTCATTAACAGCATAAGCTTGGCTCAGCACACTGTCCGTCATGTTATGACTATTCTCAATACGACTTCTTTCTCCCAACATATAGTCCGCCTCTGCGGCTTCTGGATTATTGCTGTGATAAGCGTCGATATCAGATCGCACATTTGAGAGTAGGTTTGCGCGATTGCGAGCTTCAGAAATGGAGGAACGAATGCGGGAAAGTTCGCGACGGTGGTCGAGGAGAATCTCTCGGTGACGGGTAAGATTATTTTGACGGGTTGCAGAGGCTGTGAGAGAAGAGTCGCTGTCGAGGAGACGGGAGAGTTGCGATATCAGATTTTCTCTCTAAAACGTAAGTGTGAGACTAAGTTCTTGAGCTTGCAGTGAGAATCTGTTCACCTTTTCTAGAATTTCTTGTAGCTTCATTTCAGTGGATCTTTCATCTTCTGAAGGTTTAGGTGGAATATTGGAAACGGCTGAGAATTGTGAGTAGGTATGGAATAGTGTTTCTGTCTGCCCGGGTTGTTAGTTTCGTGGGCGATAGCTATTGCGAGGTATATAAAATTACTTGTGTTTCCAACGACCGAGCTTGTTGACGAAGCTGTGCCCAACCTGTCCCAGTAGATGTAGACATCGTTTCTAAGTTGAAAGATAAATTGGGGTGTATGTTTGGTTTGCAATGATTTACCGCATTTGTTGTCGGCGCATTATTATTATTTTGTGATGCTGGGTTACGTCGCTGGAGCCGGATAATAGGCGGCCCGCCCCTTCTTTGTCGCATCATCAAGTGGACCAATCATTTTGCTTGCTCATCAGAACGTACTATTCCATATCAACATCACTGAATCAAATCCACGGAAGTTCTCTAAATATTACTCAGACATAATTACTTATTGACATCACCTAAATTATAGTACTTTAGGATAATATCCAGAAAGTATAATTTGGTGTCCCTGTTTGATCGTCCTGCTAGATGGATCTTAGGATCTCTGCTATAGTTTATTCATTCTTGACTTTGTATATAAGCAAGCGAAGCATCGTGGATAGTATTCTACCTAGGTAAGCTTGTAACAACAATTAAACTGTGCGAGGAGACGGTCACGAATTTTTTGAATAATATTTATCATTTTCTGCATAATGCTAGAGCGCATTTACATGTGAAATATCAAGTTTAAAAACCTGGGCACTATTCTCTTCAAAAAACAGGAACGCCAGCCCAAAACATAACCACGCAGAACCATGCCATCAATCTTTGAGATATCTCGCAAAAATAAGAAGCTTTCATATGCAATCGTCAAGCACATCATGAACCCTTCTATAAAATCGCTTTCCTAAACGCCTGTATGCTTGTAGTGACCTGCAGCGATCTTATTAACCGGCAGCTTGAAGAAGTCTCTCTCCAGCCTTAAGATTTGCACAAGCGTAAGCCTTAGACTCAGGTGGAAATGTTCCATTGGCAGCCCAGAGGTCAATCAATGGTTGCATGGGCTCCAATTCATGTGGCTTTAGCATGTCAATCTCGGTTGCTGTCAAAACAAAGTGACTAAAGCAACTATTCATGTGCTTGTCGAGGTTAAGATGGTAGAAAGGCTCAATGAAGTGTCCCCAGTAGAGATGAGCATAGACTCGGAACATTTGTCTGAAGATGGTTTGGCATACATCAACAAATTCCTGTGGAAATCCACTGCTCTTGCCGATCCAATCACCAGCTCCGGCGAGTTGAGAGAGAGAGGTTGTGAGTGTGGTTGGGCCAGCGGGAATGGGTGTGTTTGAACCAGGTGTGTTGACTCCACCAGAAGCATAAGTTGAGCCAGCAATTTCGGGACCGGCACTGTTGTGACAGTATGAAATTCCGGCGGGATCAGTGGGGAAAATGGCGGTATTATCGATCTTTCCAGAGATCCAGCGCTGCATGAGGGAGATGTACTCGTGGGCCGGTACTTCGACAGGCTCTCTACGTGAGTTCAACCATGTGAAAGAGTGGTTTCTAGTAAAGCTTATCAGATATCAAGTCGGTAGGTCTTAGAAAATGCAGGCTTACGCGCCAGCAGACATGCGGGGGCAAGTCTGGGGGTTACAAATGGTGTTACCATCTTCTTCTTTTTCATGAATTACCCGAACAAAGTTCCACAAGATACGATAATGCTCAACCACTACAATTGTTAGCACATGACTGTTAGCACCTCCTCATTGTCTTACCTTGATGGGCAATCCACTCTCCAGGCTCAACTGTCTTTGGGCGAGCAGACAATGTCATAAAATTACCCTTAACAATGTGCTTAGCATAAGCATTATTAAGCCAGAGTGGCTTCGGGCGAGGAAGGTTGTAGGCGGCTAGTGGATCATTGCCTGCAGGGAGGGCTTGCTGATCATCCATAGACATGGTTTGTGAGAGCGAAGGCGAGTTGGGGAGTGGCGAGATGCGGGGTGCCATGTTGGCGGGTGACGAAGAATTGACGGGGGAATTGCCTGTAGGAGAGGTTGGCGAAACTCCGTTAAGTCCACCCGGACTCTTTGCGCCAGAACTCTTACCACTGCCACGAAAGCGGCCACTTCTACAAACACAATATTGTTAGCAATTTTCCTTGTCAAGTTGACCAGAAGCAAAAGATAGAATATTACGCAAGCTGGGAGAATGGCGAGAACGAGTGGAAAGTTTTAGGAAGACTCAAAATAACAAATACGAAGGGCTCAATGCATCAACGACAAATCTGGAGAGCAGATATGCCTTTAGTCAAATCAACACATATTATAGGGATCATTTTTGGAAGAAAATATGATCGCCTTGCTGATGGAAAGCCACCCTTTGACCAGACTTATAAGATTGACAGATGAGATTGCTCCTAAGGCTTCTCGTCCGATAATATGACTCAAGCAACTTGCTTCCTGATAGGTCGATTGGGCCGATATAAAGCTTTCTGGGCGGTGACAATGAGCCAACTTCTCATATCACTGCACCCCAAATGAAATGCCCTCCATTAATCGAACATTTTCCCCGCCCATATTTTACCACTAGTGAATCCAAGTGACAAAATATTCAAGTATCACCACAGGAGCTCCAAATATCAAAAGGCAACCAGAACGACAAGTAAGGAAATCCGACCACGTACATTCCTGAAAACAAGTTTGACATATTGCTGAATCTTTCAAAGTCAGACAATTTATCGAATCTCAAAAATTACCAAGATAACTCAGTAAAGTCGACTTTCAAAACAAAAGGTGGTTGAGTCGAGAGTTAGTTGAAAGATTGTGGTTTGTATTTGATATCAAGTAGGAATAGGAGACAAACAGAAAAGCTTAGGAAGTCTTGAATAGATTAGCGTCGGCTTGTTCCTTAATGTTCTTCCGTCCACTCTATCCAAAACTTCCTTGATCATTGGTTAACAATCCGAGAAGGCGGTGTATCACTTCTTGCTGCCCTTGCATTATTTTGCTTGCTGCTTTGTATCCTCCACTTGTATCAGACGTTTGGTATGTCTTCATTCACCAATCGATTTTCTAGTATGGCTAAAAGAGGTGTTGTATTGAAGACGATTCACTGAGCACGTACAAATTACAAGGACCTCCTCTTTCGTCGATTCCAATTGATTCGATTTTACTCGCAATATATCGCTTTCAACGATACCCGTGGACCTATCAAAGCTTCTCTTCTTAGCATCTAGCCTTACGCGAAGTTCACGAAGTACGATACGACGGAATTTCGCGATTTACCTTTTGAACATTTTTAAAGCTTACAACCATAAATACACACACCACTTGAAATGGCATCCAATTCAGAAGATGAAGTTATGAACAATATCTCCGATGTTGATGAGGAGGATGATTTGTTTGGAGATGTTCCTGATGAGGAGCCAGAGACCGCACCACCACCACCCAGGGTGTTGAGTGACGCAGAATTGGATTCGGGAGACGATGAGGGGCGCGATGATAGAGTACCTAACAGGGACGATGAAGAAGAATTACCGGCGGAAGATACTCGAAATGCGCGAATTCTCGAGGCTGACATATTCAGACATCCAGTTCCGAGACCTTCAGATGGAGAAGTAAATGCGCCGCCTCATTCCAATCATCTTTTGTGCACGTAGCTAATAATTTCACAGTTCCATACGTTTCGCCTTCCAAAGTTCTTTGGAATTGAGCCTCGAGAATATAATCCTGAGACTTTTGAAATCCCCGTCTCCGACCACCATGCCTCTACCCAATCCGCAAATTTCTCGGCCAGGAATGTTGCCGAATCAACGATCCGCTATCGCAAGTCAGATACTGGAAAACTCGAAAGTAATACGAACATATACACATGGAGCGATGGAAGTGCCACTCTAGCTATTGGCGACCAGCATTATGAATTACAGAGCAAACCTCTTGCGCCCGCTAAGGATAGCAAATACAACGAAGTCTTAGACTCGCATAGTTACATGGCTTCACCTTCAGTCACATCTCAAATTCTTGTTGTCGTAGGACACATGACCAACGAGTACACAGTCAGGCCCAACAAGTCTATTGAAGATGATGCTCTGAACAGGTTGAAGAAGAATCTTACTGCAGCTACTGGTCTAGAAGGAGGTGAAAAGAAACGTCTAAATATGATCGTCAAAAATGAAGACCCCGAACTTCAAAAGAAGCGAGCAGAAATGGCAGAAAAGGAACGTATGCGTGCTCAACGTCGTCGTGAGGCTCAGCTTGATAGAGCCAGTCAATCAACTGGACGTCGTGTGGGTGTGGGTGCAGGTCTTACTCTCGATGATATAGATGGTCGCCCTGGACGTCGTGGACCACGTAAACCTGCTGGAGCTAAGCGTCCTCGTCGTAGACCAGAGTATGATTCGGACGATGACCTTCCTCGTGGTAGAAATCGTGAAGACGAGTACGACAAAGAGGATGACTTTTTGGCATCTAGCGATGAGGAACTTGAGGAAGGTGGTGGAGACGACGATGAGGAAGAAGAAATCCTTGATGAGAGTGATGAAGCTCCTAGGCACAAGAAACAGAAGACATCAAAACCTGCCGAAGATAGCGATGCTGACGCAGATGCCGAAGCTGATCTGGATGACGAGGATGTCGTTCAAGCTCCGCATGCAGAAGCTGGTGGAAACAGGAGAAAGCGTAACATTATTGAGGATGACGATGATGAATGAGCTCAACTTTAGAAGTTTAATAGTGGCCATAGATATTGCGTTCATATACCAGGCATTTCGAAAGACATTTCCTGTGCTTCTCATAACATACCCGGCGTTTTCTAACAGATTGTACAATAGCTAACTAAGCGTTTACTACACATGCATTTTAAGATATGTGTATGTTTCCAAAAGATTATCGAATTAGCAAGGGCTACACTACATGCAATAGCATTGTGACCGAAAGATTCATTTAACACGAATATTTTATCCGTATGTGAAAGCTGTTGATACCTACCTACCTAGTAATGCATATGGTGTTGTTGCATAAAGAAGATAGGCCAAAGCTTTATCCCTGACAATCTGGGGAAATCATCACATGCTAATCCTCATTCTTATTAGAACCCTTCTTTCGTAAATAGATAAACTGTCAACCTTGTATAATCAAACATGTAGTTCCGGTCCGAGGGACTTTTGTTATTCTCAAAATGACTGGAATTTTATCAGGAATATGGAGTATGCTCTTAGAGGTCATGTACTTCTGGCAAAGAGTAAGGAGATTGATAGCTTGTTATGAAGTATTGTAAACTGAGCAACGCTAACAATGGCACAAATAGAGGTTCATTCAATGGATGACTCGAAAGAAACCAGTACGACTTTGGTCAGATCTTTTACAAGATGCTCATACATATGAGGAATGGGAAGAAGCTGCTTTTCAGCTAGATGTTTTGTTGGGAAATGATTTATGGTCTGTTTACACCAAAACCCTCTTTATATGCGGTGAACAATAGCTAACAGGATTGCAATCAGGCGCCAGAATCCTACATCCAAGTACTACGATTATCGATTGATACACGAGCGATTGCAATCAATCATAATAGCCCGCGAAGAAGGAGATATTCTACAACTGGTCAATCTGCTGAGATCTGGTCTTGTACGTAACCTGGGGAATATATCCGCTCCTCGACTTTTCAATCGCGCATTTGCAGGGACGAAACTCTTAATCGAAGATTATATTACACAAGTCGCGCAAGCGGTAGCGGATGTGACTCAATTGCCTACGACACCCGGCGCTGATGGGAATAATGGAGCGGTGATGGGCTTTAGCAGTCAGGCGAAGTTGGATCTTTTGCATGACACTCGGCAGGCTTTTGGAAGAAGCACATTGGTATTACAGGGCGGGGCAATATTTGGACTATGTCATTTGGGAGTTGTGAAAGCGTTGTTTAATAGGGGTTTATTACCCCGAATTGTAACGGGTACAGCAACGGGAGCGCTCATCGCCGCATTGGTGGGAATTCACACGGAAGATGAGCTGCCAAAATTTTTGAATGGGGAGAGTATTGATCTGTCAGCTTTTGCGGGGAAAGAAAGAGGACTCCAAGGTACGAGTGGGTGGTGGGATACATTGACGAGGAGAGTAAAAAGATTTTATAGGGAGGGGTACTTTTTGGATGTGAAAGTACTAGAGGAATGTGTGCGGGCAAATGTAGGTGATTTGACATTTGAAGAGGCATATAATAAGACTAAGAGAGTCTTGAACATTACGGTGGCTACGAGTGGAAAGGGGGGGGTACCAAATCTGCTTAACTATCTCACAGCACCCAATGTTGTGCGTATACTCTCTTCATTCTCATAATCAAATGCACTGCTAACCTAAGTAGTTGATATGGTCTGCAGCCCTAGCATCTAATGCTTCAACTCCCTCTCTTTATGGATCCTCTGTAACCCTAAAATGCAAAGATCCTCTGACCGGCACCATAATTCCCTGGTCCGCTGCCGCAGATGCTACATTCCACCCCTGGACCCACGCTTCATATACTGACCGCGACTCGCCCCTCTCTCGCATCGCCGAGCTCTTCAACGTAAACCACTTCATCGTCTCTCAGGCCCGTCCCTATCTTGTCCCGTTTCTACAATCTGACATGCACGGCCCCTCTCGCCTCTACACTCGCGGCGGACGCACCTCTTTAACTGGTGGCCTATTACGTCTCATAACCATGGAAATTCATCATCGACTACAACAACTCGATTCCTTGCAGCTTCTCCCTCTTTCTATTCGCAGGTTTCTGGTAGATGAACATATACCTGCCGCATCCGTGACACTTGTTCCAGTTCTGTCCGCAGGTGATTTCATCCGCCTTCTCGAGACGCCTACTCAGGACAGTCTAGACTATTGGACATTGAGGGGAGAAAAAAGTGTATGGCCAGCTGTCGGAGCACTTAAAGTTAGATGTGCTGTGGAGACAGAGTTAGATAGAGGATATCAGATTGTGAGAAGGAGAAAGGCGGGAGGGTTACGGCGAAGGGGAAGTGTAGCTAATGACGGGCACAATGGAAAGAGGGAGAGGAGAGCTAGTAGTGCGGGGCCAAAGTGGTAATACTGTCTTCGTTCATGGTTTATTTTTGTAATAAGATAAAAGTAGTACAGGGTGATTCGCTGTACATGAGTTTTGCAACGGTTGGGTAGGATTAACGGGTTATTGGTATTGGTGCATGACATGGGAATTTGGGAATCAGACTGGCTAGGAGCATGCTTTTAATTAATTGACATACTATTCACATTCATGTTCATATTCATGTTGAACTCATTCTTCAACGTCTTCTATCCTATGCCTTTTACATTTGAATCGTTTTTTGACAAGCAAAACCCTCAAATCCAAATAAACGACCTTCGCTTATTTGTGTGCGTTCAGACTTTCTTTGGTCTTCTTCTTATACCAAACTTTGAATACAAGATAACTCGTAGAAGCTAGCGGTACGAATAATGTAATTCGAGAAAATTCCTTAGGGGGATGTCAGATTTTGTTCTCTGAGGAGTACCAGAGATGTGAGCAGGAGTTAAGATTAGTACGAGAAAGATGGAGACAATGAATGAAAATCTGGTATCTTGTATTTATATAATATTGCCTCTGGATCACACCAGCACAACCTAAACGCGACTTCTGCCACTCAATCCTCATCATCCGAGTCAGCAAACATATCTACTGCTCGCGGTCTTGCTCTTCTCGGCGGTGCAGACTCTTCAACCTTCACTGTCGGGTCGGGTGCTGTCTCCGCGGCAGGAGGAGGTTCATACGTGTCCCCTTCATCTTCTTGTACTTGCACGGGTTCTCCATCCAGATCACCACCATCATCACTATCCACCATTGGTTCTCCGTCGACATCTTCCTCTTCCATTGGAACACCATCTACATTCTCATCATCTTCTACCATCGGTTCACCATCCAAACCCTCTTCATCAGCTTCCTCTTTAGCTTTCTCCTTTGGTGCTACCTCGACCGCTTTCCATTTGCTCTTCTCTTTGTTCTTCTCCTCCTTGCCCTTTTCCTCTAGCTCTTTCAATTCCTCGGCTGACAAAGGAGGTTCCCTAAACACCTTACCGAATTCGTCCTGGCTTTCCTGTGGGAACACACACCAACCCTCCCATAAACCCAACACATTCCCTACACTTCTCTTCCACTTCTCGGCCCTTAATCTCCCCCACTTCATTTTCCGCTCCATCCTCCCCAATCCCTCAAACGTCTTTTTCCTCCGCATTTCCTGCTCGAATAGTTGTCGATAGCGCCATGCGTGTCGGACACCACTCGTAGAACTACTTGATAAAATATCAGATACAATATATAAGCCTATTAGTGACGCAGAACTGGTGTCTTCCTCTTCGGCATTATCGTCTTTTTCATCACCGCTGTTATCTCTCTCCTTGTCCTTTTTGCGATCGGGATTTGCGGATGTGTAAGCAAAGGGCTTTTCGACATTAGATACAATTGCCGAGACGACTTCATCGGCTCCTCGACCTGCATGTGAGATTGCAAATGCAGTGACTCGAGCTACGTCTCCTTTTCGTAGTTTGCCAGTACTAGTAGGTAAGCGTGATAGAAGATGTGTGAGTTTAGCCTTCTCAAGAGGGTTCAGATATGCTTTTCCGTCCTCATTTAGTGTGTTTGGGTCAATTGGAGGACGTCTAGCACCTTCATCACCAGAGTCGTCTTCATCAGATGAGTTGTACTCAGAATCCGAAACAAATTCATCTAGACGGGTCGTGTATTCATATGCTAAAGGTTGATCGGGTTGCTTCCATGCCGAAGAACCTTCAAATAGTGGCAGGTATTTTCCTTGCCCTCTTTTGGATTGCGAACCTGTCAGCACCTCCCATAATCGCCATCGATACCAAACACCACCTGTACTTCTCGAATCCCATAACCATGCCCATTTTTCTTCTCGCTGAACGGAAGCGCGTGACATCAAGAGCGCTTCGAACTCGGGTCCATGAGTGAGAAGCGATTCAATAGTTTTGTGAATGAGTTTCAATTCTTTAATATCCTGCGGTGGCTGGACTGGAACAAAAAGTGTGGATCGGCTTAATTGAGGTGTGTTGTTATAAGAGGTAGGGGGAGCAAAGCCCCCACGATGAGACGACCCTGAAAACCCTCCGCGAGCTGCTGGTGGATTGACTGGTTTGGCGCCGAAAGGTTGCGAGGCCGCTGCACTCCCTATGTTTGAAATCTGTGTAGAATTCGAAATCGCCGCTGATGACAAATGCCTATGCAAATTCAAATAATATCCAAATCCCAAGTATTTGTTTTGTAGCGAGTTGACTGTTGTGTCAATGTCATTCGCGGGGGTGTCTTTGGCCAGTGTGACGATCGCCGACATCGATTTTCTTTCCGTAAATGAGGTTGGACCAGAAGGTGGTATGATTCTGACAGCATCGACTGTCAAGTTTGTAGGGAGTAAAGCTTTAATGACAGCAGGCGAGGTACCAGGAGGTAGAGATGCGAGTCGTAAGGTGGGTTTGGCCACAGCTCTCTCCTCGTCTCTGCTGGTCCCCATACTGTCTTCATCATGGTCGAATGTCTTGAGGACTTTTGATGCAGGTCCGTCATGACTGTAGTCGTCAAATGCAAATGGTCCTCTGTCGTCTCTGCGCGAGGAGCTCTGTGCGAAGCCTTCGAATGTTCTTTTCTTTGGTAAAGTACTATTGCTCATATTCCCGGGTAAAGGTCCTAAGCTCCCCGGTCCACTGCCCATCCCTGGTCCTCCTCGTGGCGCAAATCCTCCTCTACTGTCCCCAAAACCTCCTCTTCCCATTCCACTGCTAAATCCTCCTCTTCCAAAATGTCTATTTCCTCCCATGCCGCCCATTCCTCCCATCCCATCAGCTCCAGCTGCAGGCGCATCATCTTCATCATCGAAACTTTTCACAAAATCCTCATATACAGCCTTCGTTTCCGCCTCCTCCCTCAACCTCTTCGCTTCTGCATCTGCTTTCTGCCTCTCGAATAACGATTTCTTGGAAGGAGCTTGAAGCTTATTCGAAACATCTGGAAACTCGATGATCTTTTTGGAACTCATTTTGCAGTACTACTTTCCAATTCCATATGCGACTATAATTAGCATATCCCCTGGAGAATGAGAAATATGTGCACGAAAAGCGATGATAATGTAAAAGGCGCGACACTTATTGCGACAAGGCTGCGAGTTTGTTTAATTGGTTAAAGCTTAACATGCGCCTTTCACTGGCGCTTACTAAGATCAGCTTGTCTTAATTGCCGAAGATTATTGGTCTGCGCTGCTAACATCACTTCTCATCTCAATAACAATCAGCAACTAAACATCAAAATTCCACGCAGCAAGGAATCATACTAATCTCCATAGTTAAAATCATTTCTCTCTTTGGATATGAATCATCTCACCAAATCCGAAGTATGGATTCACAGTCACATACTCAACATGGAAACACCGTGCTGGTGGGCCGCGTTATTTTCTAGCTTCTTTTTGTCATGTATCTTATGATTTGGTGCAGTTGCCAAATTTCTTCAAGGTTCTGGGGATCCTCTACCCCCACTATAAGTATGTGTCTCTGGGAGAAGGTATAGACTTCACCCTTTGGATTTCCTTCTCGTCGATCTACTTATCTAGATTTTCATAGTTTTGATATGTTCCCCAGAATTTAAGTGGCTTTTCTCTTATCGTCCATTCATCATCACACACATCCCACCCTTTTACATTGTGCGAATCCTACTTTAATTCACTACTCTTCCATCATGACAGCCTATACCCCCCCTTCGTCGATTCTCATAATCGGCACAGGTGTGTTTTCTCTAAGCACCGCCCTCGCCCTTCTAAAGAGGCCCGACTACAAAAATACAACCATAACTCTCCTCGATCGCTCTCCCTTTCCTGCTCCAGATGCCTCCTCCGTTGACTCCTCGCGCATTATCCGCGCAGACTACGGTGATCCCCTCTATGCCGAACTTGCGGACTCCGCCCAGAAACAATGGCGGCAGACAGGCGATGATGAACTTGGCGGCCAGGGTCGATACTCTGAAAGTGGTTTATGTTTAACCTGCGACACCTCATATGAGAACAGTGGGCAAGGATATGTAAGATCAAGCTTTTCAAATGTTCAACAATTGATGAAACAGGCTGGAGACACAGACGGAGTCTTAGAATTACCATCAGCAGAGGCCATACAGAAACTCTTTAATGTAGGGCCAGGGAGTGGAGAATGGGGATATATCAACCGACGATCAGGATGGGCTGATGCGGGAGCCTCCTTAGTCTGGCTGCGAAAAGAGGTTGAAAAGCTTGCCGACGAACGTGTGAAATTCATCGTCTCGGAAGTCACATCGCTCATCTTCTCTACCGATCAAAGCACGATCCTTGGGGCCAACACAGCATCTGGTATTCAATACTTTGCCGACCTCACGATTCTCGCAGCTGGGGCCTGGAGTGCCAAATTCCTCGATCTGCGCTCTCAAGTGCATTCTAGCGGACAGTGTTTGCTATACATTGATATCACAGATGAAGAACAGGAAAGATACAAAGACATCCCCGTGCTCCTTAACATGGCTACTGGTTACTTTATTCTTCCACCGCGGAATAACATTTTAAAAATCGCACGCCACGCCCACGGATACTCAAACCCAACCATGATTCCCCACCCCCACCCCTCCTCCTCAGGCGAGATGATCAGCGTCTCTCTGCCCCAAACAACTTACGACCACCCCGACAATTGCGTGCCTCTCTCTTTTCAAAAAGAAGCCGCAATCGCCCTCCACACATTCCTCCCCGATCTTCCACCCCGTCCCTTCTCACACACAAGAGTGTGCTGGTACACCGATACACCCGCCGGCGAATTCCTCATCACCTACTGCGACAAACCACAAAGTAGCGGCGGTCTTGGGCTTAAAGGTGTGTTTTTAGCAACGGGTGGTAGCGGACACGGATTCAAGTTTCTCCCCGTGCTTGGAGAGAAGATTGTGGATGTGATGGAGGGGAAGGATGAGGTGTGGGAAAAGAAGTGGAGTTGGAAGAATACGGAGGGGTGGGATGGGATGACGGATGATGGGAGCCGGGCGGGTCCAAGGGGGGAGAAACTTTGTAAGTAGGAGGCATTTGGGCGTGCGCTTTCTTGTCTATGATGTTTGGAAGAATAATTGCGGAATTAGATTTAGACAATACACAGCATGGTTCACTTTAGACATAGAGTATGGCTAGATTAAGAGTAGTTAGATGGTGAAGGGTTATATAAAGAATTATATAGAGGACTAGATGATAAGACAGCACATATACAGATGCCATAAAACCCGACTCGAACAGCATGGTCTACATGCATGCAGTGTAGTAGGTACTACCAACCTTCCTTTCTTGTATACAGATAATCATTGCTGTTAATTTCGGATAATCTCGAACTCGAGCCAGTCAGGTTTTGTATTGATTATTTCACAAGCATCTTCACATTGACATTGCATACAATATGTATATAAAACTAATGTTTTCTTTATTATTTGTTGTAAAATGTACCAACTAAGGCAATTTTGAATACTTGCTTTATCAGAATAGAAGTAGCAATTAATGACGGCATCGCAGGACCTGCGCACCAATGCCATCCGTCAAAGATGATGTTTCGCAGTCTATGAGGACTAGTAACGCGTAAACATGCTGAAAAGCACAAATATATGAGTCCCTTCTTTGACTCTTTTCCCCCCTTTGATACGCCTACCATGCATGTTAATGTTCGTAAGATCGTGAAATAATGTTGTACAATGTAAAAAAGTGGTGGTACATCTGAACTGAATCAGACCTTCTTGAAATCTTTGGGCGATGTTAGCAGATGTCATGCATCGAGAGATGTGTAAATATTTACCTTGAAGCACGGGATAGATCATCTCGAAAGCTTGGTAAATTTCCTCACGGACTTTTGCTCCCGTCAAGACAATCTTGCCACTGACGAAGATCAAAAGAACGATCTTGGGTTTCATCATTCTGTAAATGAGACCAGGGAATAATTCAGGCTCGTAAGAGCTGAAATTCATGTGGCGCGAAGCAAGTCCTTCCAAGCGAATGGGGAACTTGATATCGCAGGAACCAACGATGTTCTGGATCTTGAAATCGGTGAACTTTGCGTTGAAACCAAGCTTTTGGATGATACGAGCATATTTGCGGGACGCCAATTTCGAATCGTCTTCTGACTTTGCACCAGTAACAACCATCTTGCCCGAGGCAAAGATCAAGGCAGTAGTCTTGGGGTCGCGAATACGCATAATAACCGCAGCGAAACGCTGGGCAGGTTAGCAAAACGAAATATTAGATAGCAAGCCTAGAATCAGTAGTCACCTTTGGATTATATTCCGCGTTTCTTGCATGTAGTGCGATGGTCTTCAAGTCAAGACGGCAGTCCAAGTTGACTGTGGCAACGATGTTTCTTTACATGCAAGATAAGCCTCATGAAAAATATAATGAGGCACAAGGGTTATACATACTGTAGCGTGGGAACGATTCCACTGACACCTTGGGTGGCAGCGGGGGTGGCAGCAGGAGTCGCAGGCGGGGAGGCAGCGACGGGAGCCGCAGGAGTGACCTGCTGCTTTCCAGCGACAGCCTCGTTAGTAGATGGTGGAGTGATATCGGCAGCGCCGCCGGGGAAAGACAGCGAGCCAGGTGCGATGAAGTTTTTAGCGTCAACGGCACTAGAAGGATGTGTCTGAATGGAATCCATGATGACTTCGATGTATTGTTTATTCAAAGAAGTGTTTGTGGAAGGTGAGCAGATCTATTTGTATGTAAAATGTTAGATCGCAATCGGAAAAGCGATAAGAGTGAATGTCTTTCTTTCAAGGATCGTGAAGGTCCAAGAGTAGATGGGGTACGGCGGACGTTCGAGATAGCGTATCTTGAATTGAAAGCGTCACTCGAAAGTAGCCACCGATGAGGTAGGAAAGTAGAAGAGATTGGGGATAGAGAGATGTGGCTATAAATGTGTGTTTATAATCGCCGATGTAAATAAAAGCCGTACCGTTTGTGGGAGATAAACAACTCAATGTCTCCCCTACAGTTGCTGCTCGACGAAGATGACTTTGTGATTGACTTGAAGATCTCAAGAATGATCGAGAGTCGAAGTCCTAGCAATCACCGACCGATGTTTATGATCAGGGTGTGAATAGCAAGCTCTTGTTTAAGAAGGTCTTGTTGTTGTTGCGACAATGCGACAAGGTCCAAGGTGAGAGAGATGCGTCGCAAGGTGAATCACGACAGGAAATCCAAGGTCGCCAAGGACGGATTTTATTATTAAAGGAATGTATGATACTCTGCACAATCAAGCGCAATGTATTTTCGTGGGGTTGGAGGAGGAGTAAGGGTTATTAGAATATTCGAGTATATTCTAACGTTGGTGGTAAATTGAATGGGTGGATGGGATGGATGTGGGATGGTGGTGGTGGTGGTTGTGGTTGAAATCGCAAAATTGAGTAAGATTACGAACAACCGAAATAAAGCGGGACCGGAGAGAGTTCAAAAATTATTTGAATGTGGCAGCAACGAATCTATTTATAAGAGATGAGAAGTGCCACTTTGGTCTTTGTGGCAGACCGTACTACGAAGGAACCCATAATTAAATCCTTTATTTCACGTTCGGCGCGAGGAAAGTGCGACGTTATCGACCAATGAAAACTTGGCTTACAGCGATCTACCCTACTTAAATCTCTTGAAACCAACACCACCACAATCTGTTCACTCACGCTCGCTCAGGTAAATAATAAGAAAGAAGAAAAAAAAAGGAGTCAGATCAGTCACATCCGTCACAACGCGGGCAAGTTGCAACGCGTCCTTTCAACCGCTTCTGACACTTGAGAGGTCTCCTTTTTCCCGTTACCCCCATTCTCGTCGTCTGGACCTTTTCTTTCCTTTCGCCATCGTGTATCGGATGTACATCTCATGTATATTATACGATAAATAGTTTGCGTCGATGTGTGGAGAGGACTTATTAGCTGGGTACCTCCTCAGAAGAAACGATGGACGACCTCTAGTGGCACAGTCATCGTGAGCACCGACTGTGAAGGTGGAGGAGGAAAGAGAAAATGAAGAGCAAGAGCAAGAGAAAAAAAGACGAACAACAAATAGGCAAAGTCATTACGGAAGCCGATTTCATAAAAGGATGGCAAAGAGGCGAACAATCGGTTACTCTCAATGACCAATCAACGATCCGAGAATGGCATTTCATTATTCCACCATTTTGGTAGCGCCACGGCTAGTGAATTTTGCGATACAAATAGTAGGTACCTAGCTGGAGCTGGAGGCATGGAGGTAGTGAAAAGAATCTTGGCGCTTCCAAGGTTTGCAGGTAAAGGCGAGAAAGACTCTTGACGGTTTGACCCTTTGTTGTGATGGTGATGTTGTGATGTTACGAACTTGCGAGGAATCGCCATTGTCCGAGTAGTAGGAGTAGTGGTAGTAGTGGTAGTAGTAGTAGTATTATTATTAGTGGTAATAGTAGTACCTACCTGGTACCCGCTCTCTGTGCCCAATAACAATAATTGATGATCTGGCCTCTCGTTCCTTTCTTTTGATGTTGCAATCGACAATTGATAGTTTGAGAGTACATACCATGGATATCGTAGAAGTAGAACATCAATATTGATATTGACTCACTGAGCCTCTTGATGACATGAGAAGAATGTGATATATCAGATATAGGTAGGAGGTATATTAATTAATTACTTGCATAAGAATATACATACATTACGATTTATTCCACGGTTGAAAAGGCTGCAGGTGAGATACCTATTTACCCAGGCTCCTAGACAATTAATTTATCCATCCCTTATTACATGCATAACTCACATGCATTGGCGCGTATAAATTGGATATACTGTATTTCCATGTTATCGTCGTACGGTATAGGTAGGTAGTATGAGTCACCGTTAAAGTTGTACTGCAGCAAGGAGGCGCAATGCTTTTTTGGAGGGTGAGGTGAGTGTGTGTCCAGTCCCCGGGTCTCTTCAGAATCCAGATACCTATCCATATCAAACACCAGCCTCGATTGTGTTTCTCAGTTCTTAGATAATGACGCCACAATCACATTCATTTCAAGGTTCCAAGGTTTCTTTCTAAGGTTGTTTGTAATGGGAGAACCTTGACAGGAAACGATCAGAGAATCCTATCCGAGTATCGTACTGGAGGAACAAACTTTGATCGTTTTTGCTTTGTTTACCTAGCCGTGGACCTACTATTTCTCTCCTTCCCGAGGCTCGATGAATCCTAGATACTATATCCGTGCCTCGGATACAAAACAATACGATATTGACGATATTGACAATATTGATACGGTATCTATCATAGCGATATTGATATTGATATTGACATTGACATTATCATTATCATTGACATTATCACGATTATCATCATCATCCCAAATCCCCAATCCAACTCAAGCAACCGCCCACCCCCAAAGCAGCATAGTCTCTTGTATGATCGACAGAATAAATGAATGAAATAAATTAAACAAACGACTTAATTTTAAATCCAGGCTCAAGCTTACCTACCTACTAGGTATGCCAAGGGAGAACGCACCAACCCTTTTCTTATCGAAAGCTTTCATTCGAGTAATTCGAGTAATTCGAGCTATCTGCACCAGAAATTCTCCCCATGTTATTTCATTTCATGGCCGTCTGTCGGTCTGTCTGTCGATACGGAGGATGTATGTATGTGACATGACATGATGTATTACAATGTACCACTTTCCCCCGCGATTTCATTTAACCTTTTACTACTTAGGTACCTATCTCCTTAGTACGTATGTATGTAGGTAGCTAGAGCTTCCTAATAGTTGGAGTTGGACTACTATCGAGTTGGGGGCTGCAAGATACAAATGATGAGATACATCAATATCTATCGATATCCAATATCATAGGAATGCGAACCACACACAAAAATCATGATCATGGTTATTGATTGTTATGAATGAATGAATGAATGAATGAATGAATCTGCACATCCTCATTTCGTACCAACTTCATTATATACTACATGTAGAAAATATAATTATAATCCTCTCTCTCCTTAATAATTCATAACCAATAATAAACAATAATATAACCATCATCATCATAATAAAATCCGACGTCATCCCATCTCATCTCAACAAACCAAAGAATGTCCAAAACTCTATAGACTATACGAGTATGAGGTCGTTTTACTACCTAGGTACGGAAACAAGCACCTCCAGAGCTAGGTAGGTAGTTGCGATTATTTCCGCTGGCTGACGACTGACTTGATTGGTAGTGATTGGTACAGTACGGTAGTTCGATGAATGTTAGAGTAGTCTAGTAGGTAGATAGATGTATCGATCATCGATGAAAGACTGGACTGGTAGGAAATACGGGGAGGAAATAATGACGTGCGGTTACCAGTTTTGAGTACGAATCTCGAATGTGGAATGGAGAATGGAGAATGGAGAATAGAATCCCATGGATTGGATCACTAATTCGCCGTTACTATTACGATACGAGTAGATATATAGATAGATACGGTTGTAACCAGAGCATTTAGTATGTGAGCGAAAGCTTCTTTTGATTTACTTATTACGGTGTAATTAATTATAATATCGATAGAATATCTAGATATAATAGAATGAATATAGTATTTTATCGATAGGTATTTAGATATATTCCCTAGACTGCGGGTTACGGCCGGCATATATAGCCCGTATACAAACAAGAACATTAATAACTTTATAAATTATATCATATATAAAAACTATTTAATTAAAATTAAAGATGAGAATTTAGTAAATTAATAATAATTAGAAGGTTTATTATAGATTTATATATTTTATTTTAAAAAAAATTAGTGTAAAGTTTTTAAATCTTATTGTATTTCTATATTCAAAATAATATAATCGATAATTTCAAAAGCTCTTCGATTATAATACTTTGATTGGCTAATAGGGTATTATAAGTGGAACCCGGCCGTAACCCGCAGTCTAGGGGATAGTAAGTATCTATTTGAAAATTCTCTAATAATTCAAACCTACTATTTACGCATATCGAGCTGCGAATTATAAAAGAAATTTTGTTATGTATTTTATATAGATATCATATATTATATATCTATATATTATATATCTATATATTATATATCTATATATTATATATCTATATATTATATATCTATATATTATATATCTATATATTATATATCTATATATTATATATCTATTATTCATTCATTCATTTATCTATCTATTTATCTATTTATTTATTTATTTATTCATTTATTCATCCCTACCCAAATAAACATCAACAAAGTACCTACCTATATACAGAGACAGTACAATCACCCAAACCCCAGCCTCGAGGTGACCGAGTAGTAAGCATCCCATCCCATCCCATCCTTGAAGAATTGAACGTGCCACTACTCCATATACTCATATATATTGCATATTGCATATGACATTATATCCTCTCCTCTACCCCTAGCATTCCTTACCGAGTGCGAATGCACTGACTGCATCATTTATTTATTGTAGAATGAGATCTTGGTTTATTATTCATGTATGACGATTTCTTGTACGACGATTTCATCTACAAAGTGTTTGGATGGATCATGTACAAGATGTTTGATTAGGGTTGTACTGGTTGGTTTGTATATGTGGAGAGGTGGTTACACTTGATAATAATAAGTCCCGGTGCTTGGTTTGTAGGTATGTATTGTATTGTATTATATTATATCTCTTTGCTCTGTTTCATATTATCACTGTTATGGGAGTTTGGGAAGAGTTTTGATACGCAATTTGGAGGCTGTTGGGGCTAGGTAGGTAGGTAGGTAGTATTTGGTATTTGGATTTCTGTGGGTGTATATCTATTGACTTGATTGTTTAAATCGCTGTAATGGGGTTTTGGAAGGTAGGCTTGGGTGTTGAGATGAGTTTGGTTGTTGTTGGTTAGTTGCGATTTGGGTGTTGGGGTTGGGGTCACCAGGTTGAGATGTTGAGATATTGAGATGGGTTGGTGTGTTCAGATTGATTTTGGATGTTGAGATGAGGTTAGTGTTGAGTGTCGAGGTGGTCTTGAGTGTTGAGGGGGTCTTGAGTCTTGATATGGACTTGAACATTACATGAAGATGGGTTTGAGCATTGAAATTCGTTTGAACACTGAGATGGTTTTGCACATTGAAGTTCCTCCAGATGGTACGGTATGAGATCGCAGGTTCACAAAGGTATCTTTGCAATGGTCTTTAGTCAATTGGAATACTGAATATCACCATGTATTCTGTCGATAAGATCTACCTCTACCTCCAGACTCCAAGTGGAGATCATATTGAGCAAATCATCCTTCAGCTAGGATAAATATCGAAGGGTCTTCTTCCTGTTTTGACATGATCTCTTTTCTGACTTCTTCATGAACGTTGGATGCGGTCAAATTGTATACACATAGTAGTGTAAGGTTACCCTTGTAGTCACGAGGTTGAATTCCAGGTTGACATCACGCACAGATCAACACAAAACTAGGCTACAACCCAGATGCAGGCAATGAGAGAATCCTCAAAAGTCTTGAGATGAAGTATAAATATCGAGATACTTGAGTAAATATCTGCTCGGTATCCTTTTACATTGTTTGTTCCAGAGATTCGGGCATGAAAATATCGAGTCGGTTGGCATCCCAAGTTGATCAATCAGGAGACACACATATATATATTTGACAACATTGCATTAAAATGGACGCAGACTCAAGTCGCTCTACCGACACTAGCAAGAGTGCTGATCTAACAGACCACACTCTTACAGACTCAATAGAACAGACTTCTACCTCTGATATTACCAATCATGGGAGTATTGAAGAACAGTCAATCCCCGTCAATCTTTCGCCATCCTCAGTCACACCTCCTAAGATCAAAAAGCGCATCACACCTACTCTGATTTCAGGCCCTCTACATAATGGAATCCCCACTCATAATAGCCCATCAATCTCATCCTCCTCCGTAGCACCCACCAGCCCCAATGTTCACCAATCACGACTCAACTTATTAGAAAAACGAAACGCATGGCAAGAACGACAAAAGCAAAAGGCCATATCCCCAAGCATAAATCAACCGTCCCCCTCGAACCTTGCAAAACATTTTCAACGCATCGATCTTGAAAACAAGAGGAAAGATCCCAACGCGCCTAGACGAGGAATGTCCGCTTACATGTTCTTCGCCAATGATCATCGTGAAAGTGTTCGCCAGGAGTATCCCCAGTCCTCATTTGGACAACTTGGTATGATCTTGGGCGAGAAATGGAAAGCGTTGGGTATGGGAGAACGTAGAGTGTATGAGGAGATGGAGGCAAGGGACGTGAGAAGATATGAAGAGGAACTTGCTAGATATCGTGGTTGAGTCTCTCCTCCATAGATCGATTGTCATACGGTTATTTTCAATGCCCCGTGTTCGCCAAGTCTCACTCACCTATCATCTCTTCATTTGTATACGCGCATATCTCCCATGAAAAACTGTCCCGTCTCTGCAAAATGCCAATTATCAACGGAAGTTGAAATCGGGAAGCAAATCCATTGTCGCTCCACGCGATTCATCTTCACAACTAGATAGTTCCGAGACAAAATTCGATAGTGTATCACTTGCATAGGGGCTTCCGTGTTTAGAGACCAATCCAGGATATTAAAAGATCTTCTTTCGTTAAAAGTATCAGCAGAGTTCACGGCAAGATGGATTTGATGGCACTAGTGGCCATATTCCATCAGATAAACGCCACTTGACAGATCCATGACAACCTTTCAAAATCCACCACGGGCATTACAAAAGTTGACTCGGGATCCCATAAGTTTGTGTAGGTGTCAAGCGAAAGGACTTGTTTCTATGAGGTTGCGCTCCTAAACACCTAGTTCTCTCTCTCTATTATACACGCGGAAAGGATGAATTGATCAAAGAATACTCGCATTCCCGAGTGCTAGTTTTATATTTTCATGTCATTACTCTCTCTCTCTATACATGTTTCGTCCACTCTACTTCCTGTAACCAACTGTAGTTTTCTAGGTAGAAGCTTTTTTTTGTCAGCGACGATGGTGATGGTGATGGTGATGGTGATGGTGATGGTGATGGTGATGGAATGGAGGTCTGTGATCTTGGATATATTAATTAGAGTTCAGAATCATTCAACGTTGCTGAAATCTCCATATCTCCATATCTTCAAATCTCCAAATCAGCAATTTCCACATATCAATCTCATACTCATATTTAATCTTCAAATCATTCTTATATCCAATACCGCTTGCTTTATTGATATACTAATAATTATGTCATAATAGCATAATAGTCTTCTTCTTCTTCTTCTTCTTCTTCTTCTTCTTCTTCTTCTTCTTCTTCTTCTTCTTCTTCTTCTTCTTCTTCTTCATTACTGAGGACTTTACAGCACTCGAAGTATTTCCTATCAGCGATACCTATATAGTATGTAGCTTTATTTTTATCTCGTATGATGGGGGGGGGGGGGGGGGGGGGAAAGAAGGTTCTAGGTATGTAGATAGGTAGATTTAATATCCATGTGGGATTGTGATATGTTTATATTTATATCTGCATTTATATCTCATCTATCTCGTCTTTCCTCACCTTTCCTGGTCAATATCTGTACTCACATATCCATATACCCGCATAATTCCCTATAGCTATTAACATTCCATCCATCCATCCATCCCATCCATCATCACATTCAATACAAAAGTACCAATCATCATGTTCAAATCCGACTCACTAATCTCGTCAACTCATCTCGTACTCTTCATACCTACTTACTACCTACCAGGTACCCGAGGTCCTCAACAATATCTCACTTCCATCTTTGTTCTTCGTAATCCGTACTTCTCAAATCAATTGATGCGCTCGTAAGGATATCAATCCGATCGTTCGTCCATCCTCTAGAAATGGGATGTCAATATGCATCGATGTTCTGTTCTTTAGATAGGTATCTATGTATCTAGGTATTTATATAATAAAATCTATCTTTAAGTTTCAAAATAATTTAATTTGTGAATTATATTTATTTATTCTATCCTATTTTGTTCAATCTCATCCCATCCCAAACTCCAAAATCCACATTCCCAACACTAGGTATCGCACACTCACTCTTCCTATTAACCTCTACTCCACACCTACAAGCTGATTACCTAACTCCTTGTTATAAAGAATATAAATCCTAATATCTTGATACCTATTCCAAGATTCTCTAGATAGATGTGCCATAAAAAACACACATGGATCTTTAATCCGATTCGATTTTCTAATCCTATTTATTCATTTTATCTCATTCTATACTATCCCACACTCTTACCATTTCACCCATCATCTCACACCCTTCCCATCAACCTCTACTCTACTCTACTCTACACTCACAAAATCCTTAATCCCCCCCTCCCCTTAAAAATATCATCAACTCCAATACTCCAGCACCTACTCACCTACCTACCTAATACAACAAACACGAGAAAGAGTTTAGCGAATTACATGTTTCTGAATCCTACTACTACTATTACTACTACTACTACTACAATCTAGGTACTGAGAATTAAACTACTTTTTCGTAGGTATACCTATGTAGTAGCTAGTATCTGAATCGATTGCTAGAGTATCAATCTTAAGATTTGTAATTTCATGTTCTGCATATACTATATTTATATATACTAACTCTCTCTCTCTCTCTCTCTATATATATATCCAATCAACTCACTCTTCATCAACATACTCTTCATTTTCATCTTCATCTTCAGCTCTCAGCTATCTCTTTTTTCTCTCCTACCATCAAAATTCCATATACTTCCAAGCGAAGCATCTCATCACACTAGTAAGAGCCAAACCCTTCCTATCTTTTCGACTCTAGACCTCTAGACCCAATCTTTCACAATACACCCATAACCAACAATAAATAAGTAGAATCACGAGCGCTGATAGGAATCAATTATCTGAACCCGCTGAACTATAACCACAGCTTTGAAAAAAGATATCATCATGTCACCCACCTCCTTGCTTGATCACTGAGCGCATGACTCGGCATGATGTTCAGAAAGGATGGAGATGTAAGAGCCAAATGGGATAATTACATGGAATCACATCACCCATTGAGAATTGCATACTGTCAAATGATCCTTCCCATTTCTCATTACTACTATACCCCCAAAAGGAACGTATGTATGCACAAAAGAAAATGCTTGCTTGCTTGTTGTGTACCCAACGCGATCGCTCATGCTTGCAAAAGACATCACTAATGAAATAAAGACAACCGCCCAATCCACCCAAGCCCTGTAGTGAAAAAACGACAGACAAGAAATACAGATCCGACCATATACACATCAGTCATTCGACCTTTCATTGCTTTAATTCTTTCTCCATGCATCCCGTGCAAAGTACAATTACCTCCCCACCCTCACCCTTATTTCCTCTCTGACAAGGGAAAATCTGCCCATCATCGAACCCACCCGCGCAATGACCACATCGGAAGCATTCGTCATGCCATTCGCCGCCTAGTGCTTGTACGTATTGACCTAAGACGGCTTTCTTACATCTCTTACATTTTGGGGCTTTGCGTTCTGTGCGTTTGGTTTGACATGAGAGACACCAGGCATATCCGTCCTTTTCTATATGCGTCATTCCTTGTTCGAAAGGATCTCCGCACTCGGCGCAGAAGAAATGACCATAGTGCCAATGTTCCCCGAGTGCGACGGCATGCTCACCGATGATAGGGGTTTTACAATGTTTACAGCGAGGAGCATAGAGTTCGTGCCAGTCGAGATGACAATAGAATCGTAACCTAGCATCTCCGTCTTCGGCTTCTGTTTCACCCTCGGTATCAGGGATCGTCTCTCCATGTGCACGACGCTTTATACGATCGAGACGTGCTGCGCGAGAAACGGCGGGCTCGGGGCTAATTTCGAGGTCTTGAAGAGCGGTGCCACATGTGAAACAGATAAAACATTCCGGATGGAACCGTTCGGGTACACCACGGAGAGCTACCACTTTTCCTTCAATTGGTAATTGGCACTGATGGCAAGTTGCTGTAGCTCGACTACCTGCAGCGGGAGACCAGTGGCCTCGAGGAATTGGCGCGGGGGCTTGTCGTGGATTGGGGCGTTTTGAGGCAGTTTTGGGATCTGGAAGCGGTCTTGCCTTTGATTGTGACGAACCAGGCTCCGAAATCGTGGGGATCTGAGGTACGGACTGAGATACTGGCTCGTTGATAGTTGGAATATTTATCGTTGGTACAGCCGGTGCTGATTTGGTTGGGCTTGATCCCGGTTCAATGATCGTTGGAACACTAGGAGCCGAAATAGAAATTTGAGGGGAATCAGGAAATTTTAAGGTAGGGACTGACGGTGTTGATTCTGAGACACTTATACTAGGAACCGGGACGCTCACTTGGGTCGGTGCACTAAAATCCTTGTTTGATGAGACAGGCGTCGGACCTGGTCGAGCAGGTAGGCTTTGCTTTTGGCTATTTGGCCGGCGATCGAACGGCGATCTTCTTCGCACTTCTGGCTTGTCATCAGCCTCCTGCGGCTTCCAGTTTTTGTCAAAGCTTACAATTGGACGGCCAGGTTTATCACTGACTGCAGTGGGCGTGGGGAGTTTGGGGCTGCGATCACTAAGACGCATGCTTGTCGCTTGACGTATATCTTCACCTCTGATCTCAACCCCATTCTTTTTGGGAATCTCTTCCTTCTCAGCATCTGGTTCATTTGCCGGTGGCATGTTTGCAGTATATGCAGGATTTCTTGACTGTGTTGGTGGATTTTTATATATCTCGGTTGTGGATAGCTTTTTGGTGATTTCAGGCGGGGTACTATTGGATCGTGGAACATCCCCGGAAAATTGAACACGATTTAGGGGATTTCGAGGCTTGATCTGTAAAGCAGAGGCTGGGCGGCCATCCATGGGTCGACCACGATCGGAATCATTCGTGCTTTCTTGCTGGGGTTCCTCCCAAATCTGCTCACCAGTAAAGCTGCCTTTGATTTCGCCGCTAATGTTCCTTTTACCACCGCCGCTCATTCTTCTTCCGTTTTGTAGTCGGCTAATACTGCCGTAAGTCTTCGTAGCTTGTTGAGCCATTGCATCTCGACCGGTATCTAGGGATCCACTTAACGTTGGTTCTGGAGTAATACTGTTTTTCAATGGGGAGGAAGGCCTTGAAGTTACGGGGTTTTTTGGTCCTTCTTCATCGCTCACAATTGAGTCTTTTCTTGGAATTGCATCTCTAGCAAGCTCCGTAGGCACAGCAGGGCTAGCGATTCGTCCAACACTCTGAGTCCTTGCATGCGCATAACTGTTCTTTCTTAAATGGTCTTTGTATCGATACGGCGCATCAGGATTTTTGAACTTATCCCCAAACTGGTGCGTGTAGACCAACTCGGATGCTTCCTCTTGCGCAGCTTTATGGATCCGCACTTCGTCGTCGTGTTCCCCTTTTATATCCATATCCTCCATAGCCTCTCGCAGAGACGCTGCCTCCTCCTTTTCCATCCATCTTAGACCTCGTTCGATATATGTAGCACTGGGGACAACTTCGGAGGGTTTGAGAGGAAGCTCTTGAGGTGGTTGAACAAGCGATCGCCCTGCTCTAGAGCTGACCGAAGAATATGACCCAACGGAATTCCGAGTTGGTCTGCGAGAAAATGAACTTCCGGGCCGCGGTTGAGGATCGACAGAAGCTGGGGTCTCTGGTGGGGCATTTGTCTGCGGGGTGATAACTGATGATACCGATGATATTGAATTGGATTGTCGCCGTTTACTCGGAGGGGGAGGCCTTGCGCCACTCGGGCGAGCAACACGATTGTTTCTTAAATCTGCCAAGTAATCCGCTATCAACTGTCAGTAAGAAGCAAGACCATTTCTCAAGGACTTGAGCTTTGCCGGTAGCTGCAAACAAAAGACAAGATAGATCGAGCTTACCAAATTGATCGTTTGACATATATGATGGCCCAGGAGGAGTGACATTATGGTCGGTTGGCTCCTTAGATTTCCCTCTCAGTAACATTGTAAAAATCAGAAGGTGAAGAAAGTTGGCTCAAAAAATTATAGTTTGGCGAAGAAGCTTTAAGTATCGATGGCAGTGTAGCGAGGATTTGTTGGCGGTGTGTTGCGTCAGAGTTTCTATCCAATGTGGAAGTTCCAAGTATCTGTGATAATGTTTGAGATATAATTCGAGGCGTGATTCGTGCGTATTGCTTAGGATATCGTCGAGATAGTGTGGTTGCAAAAAGGAGGAAGAGGAAGAGGAGGAGGGTGGTGATGATGATGATGATGATGATGAAATTATTGAGGGGAAGGTAAAAAGGAATACAATGTTTATCAACAAAAGAGACAGCAAAGAGAGACGAGCAATAACAATAATAACATATACTTTTTTTTTTATAGGTCTTTGATGAATATGAAGTTGACAGTAACAGGGAGAAAATCAAGTATCACTTTGGATTCTTCAAACATTCCATGTTTTCTTATACAAATCACACAGTACAACCTACCTGGTGGAGGTTGGTTCTCTTGCTATCGCGCCGAAGTCAATAATCGGCTGAAGGCTAAACAGTCGTCTCAGCAACAAGCTTCTCTTGGACTTGAGCCTCCAAAATGTACCTACCTAGGTATTAGATCAGATCTAAATTATGGAGACATGATTTCCCAAATCAGAACCTTATAGAATACACTTTATGTACTTGAATCCTTCGTCCTCTTTCTCTTCTTCTTCTTCTTCTTCTCGAGCTTTGGAAGTTTCGATCGATTTCCTCGATTTCCTCGATTTCTTCTATTCCGTATGTTATGGATCCAATTAATGGAGAATTTTGGGAAAACGCATCGGGAACAGCGAATACAGCAAGGGGGGCTGCTTAGTAATACACAGGAGAGCGAATGGCTCTGTAATGATAGATTATGTAAGCGAGATAAGGTACACCGCGAGACCGCATGGGTAAGTTATGTTACACCGCTTTTATTTTACCACCAATGGAATCAATCTGCCAGGCCAAATTGATCCTGGCTAATGAAGGCGGTGTAGCAGCACAACTTATCCATATCCATACCTTCGTACTGGTCGTTTCCGCCATCAACTTTCCATTTCTCTTCTTGATCCTTTTCCCCTTGTCCCCTCTTCCTTCTGCCAAACACCACAACATTGACCTGACATCTTCTCCATCTTGCTCTTCTTCACCCTCTTCACCCTCTTTACTACATCCAATATACACACATGATCTTTACCGTCATCACCCACACATCTCTTCACAACAAACCCAGCACATTCTCGTAGGTATCCACAGTCTACATGGCCAAGCAAATTGATTGGTGGCGAATGCTATGGACGGGTCCTCGGCTTCAATTATTACTACTGAAGAAGGATTCTTAGTTTCTTATTCCCGATTCTATACCCATTACCCATACCCAAGTGAATATGTTAGGGAATAGCTCTGGCTACCTAGCTTCGCGGGGAGATAAAGCTCAGGTAAGAAAATGCATTTCGTGACTAAAACTTTTGCGCCCTTCACAATCATATTGATGCGCCGGTCCGGTGAGTAGGAAGGTCATTGCCTTCTTCAAATGCAGAGATTCCTTCGCATTTTCTTTTGAGCCTATCTTCATGGACTTGCATCTTTAATCGGTACTTTTTTCCTTTCTTCGTGTATATCTCATCTACACTCTTCTCGATTAATTTCTTTCCTTCTGTATCTATCTTCAAGGATACACCTTTCTATGTGAGATGAGTGCCATCAACAATGAGCGGTCAGGACGAGATGACAACAACGAAATGAACATTGCGAATGTGGTGGAGAATGTGGACAAAGATAGAAGGGGCCCATCAGATAAGAATCTTCTGGCGGAAGATCGAGGGCATTACACCGATGACCCAGAAAGGACTGAGGACTCGAACCCAGTGGATGTACCTCCTGATGGCGGATATGGCTGGGTTTGTGTGGCATGTGTATTTCTGATCAACGGGCATACTTGGGGAGTCAATAGTGTCAGTGAGCAAGCTTTCTATGCTTTTCGTTGCTAATGAATCTATTAGTCTTACGGCGTTTTCCTTGCTCACTACCTTGCGAGTGATACTTTTCCTGGCGCAACTTCCCTTGAATATGCGTTCGTTGGCGGCTTATCGATTTCTTTAGCCCTCCTCACCGCACCGGTAGCCACGAGCTGTACGCGCAAATTCGGAACACAAGTCACTCTAGCCATCGGTATTGTACTCGAAACCGCTGGGCTTCTTGGGGCTTCTTTTGCATATGAGATATGGCATCTATTCCTATCACAAGGTGTCGCTTTTGGGTTCGGTATGGGTTTCCTCTTCGTAGGTAGTGTTGGAGTGGTCCCACAATGGTTCTCGAAACGTCGATCTTTAGCCAATGGTATTTCAGCAGCTGGAAGTGGACTGGGAGGTTTGATATATTCCTTGGCAACAAATGCAATGATTCAATCCATTGGGCTCGGCTGGGCTTTCCGAGTATTGGCTATTTTGGCTTTTGCAGTAAACACCGTTTGTACAATTCTGGTCAGGGATCGAAACCATGCGATTGGATCTGTCCAGAAAGCTTTTGACATACAACTGTTCAAGAAGCCTGAATTCTTCCTTTTACTTGGATGGGGATTCTTCAGTATGCTCGCATACATTGTTCTTCTCTTCTCCTTGCCTAATTACGCGAGGAGTATCGGTCTCTCAGCCAAGCAAGGTTCGGTTATTGGTGCTATTCTAAATCTTGGTCAAGGTCTCGGCCGGCCATTTGTAGGGGCATTTTCGGATGCAACTGGGCGAATCAATATGGCGGGCACTTGTACCTTCCTAGCAGGACTTTTCTGTCTCGTTATTTGGATTTTCGCTAAATCATACGGAGTTCTCATTTTTTTTGCTCTTATTGTCGGAACTGTCTCGGGCACATTTTGGGCCACTGTTGCCCCGGTGGGTGCAGAAGTAGTAGGTCTCAAAGTCCTTCCTTCGGCTCTATCTATCATTTGGTTAGTGCTTGTGATACCTTGCACTTTTTCTGAGCCAATTGGACTAAAGTTGAGAGCCTCATCTGGGGATATATACCTACACGCACAGGTCTATGCAGGATGTATGTACATAGGAGCTGCACTGTGTATGTGGGGCCTGAGGGCTTGGAAAATCAAGGAGTTGGAGAGCTTAAGAGAGGGAGAAAGGGAGAAAGAAGTAAGGGATGAGGACGAGGCAAGGAGGGAAAGAGAAAGGGAACAGGGCGAAGAGAAAGATTCTGAAGAGGGTGCCAATGTTCCGATGAGAAGGCAGATGACAAGAACAGAGAGTGTGAAGCGAGCCACAAAGGGGCTCTGGGTTTTACAGAGAGTTTAGAAATACCTATGCTATTGATACCCCGGTATATTCAAAATAGATGTCAGAGAGGAGGCATACATATATACACACACATAATTATATCGATTTCAACATCAATTTAAATTCATTGGATACTACCAATGACGTATGCAACAAACACAAATAGATATCATCATTAAGGTGATGCCTAGTTTTGCTTTCCAGATCATGTTCATGTTTGCGGCGATGAAGATCTTGTTGTCTGTATATATATATATATATATATGATCTCTAATGGCTTATGAGATATGACGAATTCTGATGGAAAAGAACGAATACAAAAGATATTGAGGAGTCTGTCTCAAGGGGGTCTTAATCTTAGCTGAACAACAAGACTTTGATGTACCTAGGTAGTAGTAATTGAAAAGAATTACCATGACCAAACGATCTCATAAATTCACAATCACAATCGCAATCACATGTAAATAATTAATGATTACCTAATTGATTCTGATTCAAGTCTAGCGCGGGAAACTCACCTTCCTGATTGTTGAGATTATGCGGAATGTTCCTGGGCCTACCTAATAAGCGGGATCTTTTTTCAGGGTCTTCCTAGAGAGCACGAGACCCTATTTGGAAAATAACAGGAAATTCACAATCCCCTCATCTTGGACTAATCTTCTCCTTATTCACCATTTTATTTTGACCCTTTCTCTTGGAACACTGTCTACTTGTAATATAATACTTCAAAGGACCAAACAGAAAGATTTTGAACCTCAATTGATTAACATTGTGTTACTTTCTCGAAACTACACGCACAGAACAATCGCAAGCAGTGCAAAAGTGTTCTTTGAGAGCACCCCTATTCCTCTTCTTCTAGCCACCGTATATCGGTGATATTAATATATTATATCGTAGAGAGTTCGGGATTCAAACCTACGATACCTGCCGAAATTCAGAATCCATTTTCAACTCTGTTCTCTGTAGGTCAGTCGCGTACAAACGTTGTTCACCCCTCAGGGCTTCATAGTCCTATCATCAAAGACAAATCCAATTCGAGTAGGTCCGTTTTGAATCCTATCATTTTGCAGATTATTAATAGATTTGAAACAGCATAAAGAGCCTGCATCGATTTGAATCCTTTCGCTTGCGGCCGGCTCCTTTCGTAAACAAACATCATGGCCACAATATCAACGCCGAATACATCTTCGATTGGCAAAATCCGCTTTATCCCTCTCTCTTATAACTCCGCCGAGTCTCAAACATCAGCCTTACGTCTAATCCTGACCCTGCGCCCCGAATGGGAACAAACTGACGGGAAAATCGAGTTCATACGATTTACGGATGGCATAACAAACACATTATTGAAGGTTATCAACAAGAGACCTGGGCTCACCACGGAAGAGATTGATAACGAGGCAGTTCTGCTGCGGGCATATGGCCAAGGAACCGATTTAATTATCGACCGAGAACGTGAGACTCAGAATCACGAGTTACTAACGCAATACAATTTAGCACCAGCATTACTTGCCCGATTTAAGAATGGAATGCTATATCGATTCATTAGAGGAGCGGTCACTAGTCCAGCAGACCTCAGACAGCAAAGGATTTGGCGTGGAGTAGCTAGACGATTGGCAGAGTGGCATGCGGTTGTTCCTTGTCTGGCGACGAATCATGAGGTCCAACCCACAGAAATAAATGGTAGTGAACAATTTGCTTTTCCAGCTGCATTGAGCAAGGTGGAGCCTGCTCTCCAATCTGCTATTGACAATACCGCTCCTGGAAAACCAGCCCCTAATGTCTGGACGGTGATGCAAAAATGGATATATGCACTTCCCGTGGGATCAGAGGCAGAAAAGACTCGACAGGCAACTTTGCAAAAGGAACTGAATCGCCTGGTTGCTGAGCTCAGCAATCGACCTGGTCTTGGTGAAAATAGTGTGAGTGACCTTCGTGAAACCCGATGCGATCATAATTGTCTCTGGACGCAAAGTAGTGCTAGCATAACGATGCAATTCCCGCTGTAACATCCTGCCGCCGAGAACCGTGCTGACATTTTCCAGCTCGTATTTGCCCACTGCGACCTTCTAAGTGGTAATGTTATCGTGCAACCCCAACCCACTGGCACTACTACCCCCGCTGCAGTAGAAACAGTCAGTTTCATCGATTACGAATATGCCACTCCTTCTCCAGCAGCTTTTGATATTGCCAATCATTTCGCGGAGTGGGGAGGGTTTGATTGCGAACATCAATACATGCCCACGCGCGCAGAAAGACTCGATTTCATTCGGGAATACATTCGAAACTATTTTGCTCAATTGAAGCAAACTTGCGACGAAGAAGCAGAGGCTCAGAAAATGTTTACCGAAGTAGATGTATTCAGGGCGGTTCCAGGGTTCTATTGGGGAATTTGGGCATTGATCCAAGCCACGATATCTCAGATCGATTTTGACTATGCTGCATACGCAGAAATCAGACTGGGAGAATACTGGGCCTGGAGAGGAGAAAATGATGGTAGTCGAGCGGCTTCTGGCAAGGAAATGTCCTTGAGAGAGCGAAGATGGGCGCAGGACGCATAACTATCCCCCAAAAATTGATGCACAGCATGCATTTAGAATTTATTTAGATCGACTTGCATATTTATGAGGCTTCAACGCCTAGCAGCGTAGCCCGGTAGGAACACTGGAGTCTTCAACGACAAAATTTTGAGATACCTAATGAAGTTAAAAAGTTTCAAAAGTACATAGCTTGATTTTCACCATTAAAGAAAGGTTGATGATTTGCAATATAGACACTTTAAAGCAAATACCGTGCTGTCGCTGCACCCTTTTCACATCAAGGTTCACTGAAAAAACCGAGAGGAGATGTCAAAAGCAACATAGTAAAACAAGCTTAAATTGATGACTGGGTATCATAGGTTAAGCCTGATGCTAAGGTGACATTCGGGATCGGCCAGTACCTAGGCTCAAGCTCCAAATGTAGTATTGTACGCAAACGAAGATCAACTAGGGAAAGGACTTATTAGAAGAGGTAATGTGGATGTTTCATCGGTAACTGCCTCGTTTGATCCTAAGAAGTTCATCTTACATATTCAATACCGAATCAGCCTTACAAGATGAGACAAGATCAGACAAGATTCCGTACTATAGGGATCGAGTTATGGATGTTTCGCCTCCCTTTGTATTGATGGAAATGAAGGTTCGGCTTACGCCTCTCTAATATTCCCGCGTGTGGTAGCATTACGGCCTATCCGTTGGATCCATGGGAAAGGACGCCGCCATGATTGCTCGGTGCTTGTGCCACACGGCTCATGATTCCAGAGATCTATATTCATACCTTCATTTAGCACCATCACCCAGTGAGATGCACGGCCACATCCTCTTCTTAGGTTTATTAGTTGCATCATACATAGGTACCTATGTTTCCTGCATTGCCGGGGCTATCAGCTATGGTTGTCAACAGAGGAACAGAACCGGAGATTCGCTAGATTCAAATTGTCACAGCCAAAATGATCTATATTTGGCGGCTAACTTTCGCGTGGCAACTGTCCCGGTGTGATAATTTACGGAACCCCGAAAATCTGCAGTCTGAATTGTCAATCTGTGTGGTGGCCATGGCAGTGGCCGGTATTTGCCAGATAGGTACTCAAACCGTCACCCAGTCTATCGCCTAGCTCGAATTGCCCAATTCGGATAACTGTAGCGAATCTCGAGATAGTGAAAATAGTGAAAAGATTGACAGTGTGTTGAGAGGGAATCACAGAACTAGCAGTCCTGATAGAAAATCCAGACGTGTACTCATGCGGCCAGAAAGTATGCAACTCATGCCTCAACGGGATTAAATTGTTTCGAGGCTCAAGATCGAGTGGATATCAAGTGGAGAGCAGCCAGTAGTAGTTTTCGTACCGTACTTACTCCTTTGCGATTAGCGCCAGGCAAACTTCCTAAATCCAAACTTTGATTTACTACCGCATTCTGGGCCGTGTACTTACTCGAGCATAGGTAGCGCTCCGGGGCGTTACGCCGATTCTTACCATAACCTTAGTTGAATTATAGTCAGGAGCTGCTAGTCTACTCCTTTGCAACCAATCCCCATTTCTCATGCTTATCCAAAATCTGCACTAAATCGTGGAATGGGCCATCAAGATGTTGAAGGATTGCCAAGCAATACAAACCAGTCAATGCCACAACTAAGCGGTTCTCAAGTACAGCACCAAGAAACACCAGTAAGAAAGTAGCTCTTGAGGGGCAGGCCGTTGGGTTTTCAGCCCGAAGAAAAAGAGAGAGGGAAGAAAAGAAAAGAAGAGAAAATAGATGGATGTCCTATTTTGGGTTCTGACCTCAGAGTGCGTTTCAAGCATGTACGACCATGCACTGTATCATGATTGTGCGACCTTCTAGAGATTACAACACCGTTGTTGGATCTTATATCTTATACGTGACGTGTAATCTGCATGCTTACCTTAGGTATATCAGCACTTGAAATCTATCATGGGCGGCGGTGACGATCTAACCACATAACCCTCTTCAGTCGGTACTACCACAATCTCACACGCTACTAATTTGACACCATCAACTGTAGACCGTTACCCCATATCTTCGACATCACACTATCCTACTAGAGCAGGCAAGGCTGATAGCTATTGCGCCTCTTGAGCCTGTCTTAGATTATTTCGGTGCCTTTTGTGCGACGAAATGTCTTGCATTACTGACTTGACTCAGAACGAACTACATCCTCAATTTTTTATCGCTAGAGAATCGAGATTGAAATCAAAGGTTGTTTGGTTGTATGCACGAATAGGATTGGTGCAGCGACTCCTGGAAACACCATTTAGATGAGGCAAATTCAGGTTTGGGTCCAGTTCCAGGAACCAGGGACAATTAAACCTATCTTCTAAAAATACCCGATGCAACATATAAATTCCCATTTGCTGGGTTACGATTTCGTGTGGCGACAACGTTAATTCGACGTCAATGCCACAATTAACAATGAGTAAGAATAATTGTATCAGATATTATTAATGGACCTGGGACACCCGAGTACATTCACCGGATGTACGCCCTTGCCCCCAAAAAATGCAGGCCCGGATATACATGGCACATGCTGTTCATTGTCTCCAGAATCTGACATTGTTCCATAAAACTTGATGACTATTTGTTGATCTGACCCCGAGGTGATGATGCCAATCCAATCCTAGCTCTTTACCATAATCCGTAGGCTGTCAAATCAAGAATTTTCCCATTTGTGAAGCTCTGGATTGGATTAATTTAGCTCAATTTAGCTCGAAGCTGCTGATTAGTGTGTTGAGCAATGCTTTGATTGGCTCCGTCGGGTTTTGGAAAACCTTCAAAGCTTTCATGGAGCTGAGGTCCTCTAGACAAATCACCTCGAAGGATCATCATACTTTTAGCCTTACAGAGGTTAACACATCAGTTATACAGCCCAGGATCATCGTCACGGTGCGAAAATAGCACGGCTTGGAGTGTTTGGATTTGCAGGATACGTAGCTAACATCAACTCTAACCCCATACTGAAGCTCCAAGTGTCTGCTAGTGCAGCTAATCATATAGATGCAGTTCTCATGATTCAACAGTCGATAGATCACAGGAATACGCTGAAAGTTAGTCTGTTTGTACGACAATACTGGGATGGTAATGATAGTTGACCAAAAAACCTCTGAGAACAAAGCTACATACACACATTGAAAAGCTAAAGTAAGCAAACAAGAACAGCAGACTATTAGTGCGCGGGTTCTTCCTTCCTTCAAGAGGTGGTGATTTATCACTTTGTGTAAGCATGTATAAACTTTGTATTTGGCATTCTACAGAGAGAGTACCTCAGTACATGCACACTCCGTGACGCTAGAGCCAATAGCCAGAACTCGCATTCGCTTGACTCCTTCAACGAATCATCAAAGAAATGAGTTTCTAACTTTCTCGCTTATGTCGAAACCAATCCTAGTCGAGTCAAATCTCAAGCGCATGGGAATATACACGCCCATCCCTGGAGACTATAACGGGTGGAGTTTGTTGTTAAAAGCGGTGGCTTCCCCCACCTCTGGTCAAGATCAGGGATAGTCCTGGCGATTCAAGGCTGAATATTAGCACGATACCCATTCCTGAATGGGAGAGGTATGGATCCATGCGCCTAGGAGGCATATTTTGTAGGATGTAAATGCTCAAGGATAAAATGATCTCACTGACTGCGGACCAGAAGGAATGACTGATATAACTCACTTTCCTTCTCCATCCAAACCGCTTTTGTTATATATCATCTAGGCATCACCCAACACAACCATGGCCACCACTTTCACGTCCACCATCCACGACTCTAGGCAATATTTTTATTCAACAGCAATGGATTCTTCAGCGGATAAAGAAGAACGCAAGCGCGAGGTATATTGCTCTCCCATAGGCAACTACTATACGGAGACTAATAAGAAGTTATAGTACAATCGTCTTGCACAAAGAGAATTCCGTATGCACTCTACGATCTACATGACGAGTAACTAAAAACTAATCATGAGTTTACCAGGCCGAAGAAGAAAGGAACACCTCAAGAACCTCGAGCAAGCCCAAAAAGAACAGAGCTCGGAGCAGTCTGAGGAGATTGAGCGCTTGAGATATCAAAATGACGAACTCAGAAGAGAGAACGAAACTCTTCGGGCGCAACTATACGGTTCAACGACACAAAGTCTCCTACTTCAACCAGTAGGACAGATTCCTTCCGATCATCGACAGTACTCTTTATCCCCATCTATTTCTGGCGCATCTATTTCCAATGCCGGTAGTCCCCCCGCTTCTTTAAGCTCAGAGATGATGTCGATGGGCTCAATACCAATGACATCTACGATGATTTCACCATCCACATATGCATATGCCGATTCGGCTGCTTTATCTTCTCAGCCATATATGGTACATCAATCCGGGCTCCGTCCACATAACTCACAAAGCTCACCTGATACATCAGGATACACACGGAATGCTCGATCTGCAATGGGGCCTTCAAATTTTCAACACCCCTCTCTAAGCGTCCCTCGAGCCAGCGGCAGCGGCAACGCTACCGACCAACAACCTAGGGCATCTTCCTCAAGACAAAAGTTAGTAGCTCCTATGGACGACGCAGCTTATGGGTGGTATTAACGGTCTGAAGTGTCTTGATGGCTACGGTGCCTTACGATCGCAAAAGATGTTGCATTGAGATTCGAGAACTTTTCCGTCCACTCCTTTCCGACCCTTCTATTGTGGATGGCTCCTCTCCAGACCGTCATCTCGCCCTTCTGCGCTCCATGACTGACATGCTTCCTCCAACCCTCCAGCCCAACAAGTCACAACTCGAAAAAGCTCACTATTACGCTATTGATATGATTGCTTCTCCTTCATTGCGAGAACGACTGATGACTTTAGCTGGAGATGTAGTGCTAAGTTTTATTCGGGACTTTGGAAGTTGCATTGGAGAGGCGGATGACACGGGGCAAATTATCATATGGGGAGACGATCCCTACAATGAGATATCATGGGAAGTTTCGCAACCTTTATTAGAGCGATGGGGCTGGCTACTCGGCCGGGATTTTGTGGACAGAAGCAATGCATGGAGGGCACAACGAGGTGCCCCCCCTCTACCTGATTGGTAAAGAAGGAGTTTTGGGAGTGCCGGTTGAATGAGTGGGATTTGGTTTGAAACGGACTTCAACGAAGTACGGAATACGAAATACGGAGTGAAATTGGGCATCACGATATACCACAGCATAGCGAATGGCGTTGAGCATTTTGAAATGGTGTTAATTTTTATTGGGTTAGAGGTTTTATGCACAGAGGCCATTTTGG